GCTGTAAGGCAATGACAGAGCATTGCTCAATTACCTTCTTGAAATTTCTATGTTTTAGTGGGAATGTATTTTTGGAAAAATCTCTTGACATTATCATTTGGTGGGGCAACCTGCTCATACTCCCATTTTGGGGGTCCTGAGAGTAAAGGATAGATGGGGGGGCGGGTACCGTTTGGGTGTTTTTAGAGCCGTGGCAGATGATCACCCAAGTAAAGCATGGCATTTCCCAGCCTCAGCCTGGAGTAGGGAGCAGAGGTTGGCTGTTTGAGTTGAGTTTTACTCGTCGTAGCTACGGCTGTCACTCGCTAACTCCTTCCTGGGACGTGGCCCTGCTCTGCCCTTTAGTTCAGTTTAGTTGAGAACATGTCTGTGAGCTGGCGGGATATTGGCAACTACTTTGGGCTTCTCTGCCCAAGGAGTGAGTTAACACTTGGAAGACTGTCATCCCTTGGCAAGTCCTAAAATACTAAGCTGTTGTATCTTTCATCCAAGCTGGGGGTCTTCTTTGTTGGGCAAATGTCGATCACCCCAGAGGTTTGAATTCTTTTACAAACTCATTTTTTCCCAGCCCAGAGGGAGGAAGTTAGGGAACTGGGGCGTTGTACCACTCCCCGGTCTGGAAGAGGGGGCCATCTCTTTGGAAAGAGAATTAGCCAGGGTATCTGGGAATGAGTTCTAATCTCTGTTTTGTGGTTTTTTAAAACCCCAGGACCCCTGAGCAGGCCACTTTGCCTCTTTGGACTGTCGACTTATTTTTGTAAAATGAGGATGACAACAGCAGCCTTTCCCAGTTAATGGAGTTGTGATGACTAAGCACAGCAATGAGACAATGTCCTTCTTCTAGGCTTCTGTTCTCTACCCTTGCAGCTAGCTTTCTCCTGCCTGTCAAGTGTCTGGGTGTATTTCCTCTAAATTACCAAGGGGGGCAGAGTTGAGTCAGGCCTTTAACTCATCAGGTGTCAGAACCTAAGACTTTGCCTCCTGACTTAGGTGAGCATAGCTGTTTGATTCCAGCTGCAGTTACATAGGAAGGAAGAGAATCAGAGAGAATATTTTGGAAGTATCTTTTCATGTTGTTGCTAGAAGGAAGAATAGGGAGATAAGACATGATTTTAATTTTAGAGTCTTTTGAAAAGGCCTTGATTTGAATTCTGCAGAAATCTCTATCATCTCACATCTTCTGGGTTGTGGTCTGAGGCATGGAAAGCTTAGGTTCACCTGCCCAGAACTAGCCCTGTCAGAGTCACTTGTCTCTTGATGGACAAGCCTAGTGTTTTGTGCCATTAAAAGGGGAGTAAGGGCTATTTGTTCATTTTTGCCGATTGACACTTTGAAAATCAAGAGAAACACAGATAGCATGTGCTGTCTTAAGCTCTTCACATATGTTAATTCATTAACAACTCCATGAAGTAGATAAAGTTGTTAATGAATGCTAATTCATTAATAACTCCATGAAGTAGATAAAGTTATCGGCTGCCTCCTACATGCCTCACTTACTATAATAGGCATGGCTCAGAGGTTGAGTGTTGACTTATGAATCAGGAGTTCATGGTTCGATTCCCAGTCAGGGCATATGTCTGGGTTGTGGGCTCGATCCCCAGTCTGAGGCATGCAGGAGGCAGCCGATCAATGATTCTCTCTCATCATTGATGTTTCTATCTCTCTCTCTGTTTCTATTTCTCTCTCTCCCTTCCTCTCTGAAATCAATAAACATATTTAAAAAAAATAATAGGCTCTATGACTTTAAGTTAAGTGATGTATTATGTGGTTAAATGAGGTACAGTTTGTCTCTTATTCTTTCAACTTGTAACTGAATACTTAGTATCCTAATACTGTCCCTTCCATGCTCAGAAGATAACTGATGGTAGCAGGAATATTTTTCAGCTTTTGCTAACCATTCATTTGTTTTGTATTATCAAACTTCTATTTCAGAGAACTCTAGGAAGCACTTTGTTCTTTATCCCCGAATGAATTAAAATTCCCTCAGAGCCTCCTCAGACAAAGCCAACATTTAAAAACAAAACAAAACATTTTTACGTTCAAAGTTAAACGTTTTCAGCACCCCAAGGAGTTTGAGGGCAGTGAGGGGCCCTTTTCCAGGGGGAATCAAAACAACTCAAACCACGACAGTTTTCTCGAAAAAATCTGGCAGTCAGAGGAAGGAGATCTGAGGCACTAAAAGAACTCAAGAACCCCAGAAAACTGGCTGCCTTTGTTCAGATACTTCTGGTTTATAAGACAACTCTTGATAACAGGTTTCTCATTATCATTGTTGGGTTTTGAAGTCAGCAAGTTTGGTTTGTTTTCCAACACTGTGTGTGTCTGTCTTTGCCTTTCCAAAGCAGTGGGCGAGCGGTAGGGGTGGAGTGGGGGGTGCCGGG